AGAGACTAAAGTCCCACTTCATTAACGGCTGATTGTTGATGGGGGAGGAAATGATCAGGAGAGAAGAAAGTAGGGGCTTCTGTAACGATCTTATTGTCCCATGGATTTAAACAGGCCACAAACCAGGTTAATATTGACGGAGCGGGCTGCAGGGTGATGTCATCACATGACATGCACAGTGGACGTAGCTTCAGACCTCCATGCTGTCGGCCTTGGACGGGTTGGAGATCCATAAGTTTGATTGGGTCGCAACGGTGGTCTTTGTGCGAGGGGTGCTGTGGAGACAGAGGCGATGATGTCATCGTGAAGGCAGCGGTGATTGGTTAACCATCAAGTGTTATGAATATTAATCGTAGGTTAGCAGAGGTGGAGGTTCTTCACATCCTGTTTCCTGTTGGTGGTCATTTCCCAAGAGAAACACTGAGAAGGTCGTACTTCACCTCCTAACGTTCTACAGTTTCTTATGACAGAAATATTATTTTAATTTAATAATCTAACCTATCCTCCCACCACGATGGCCCCAGCTTTGAACATGAGCCCCAGGTTGGTGTTCAGTTCAGTCCCACTATCGAAGCATCTTTGAGAATTCTCTTCTCCAGTCGTAATCCTAACTCATCCACACGGAAGAACTCAGATGAGGTAACAACAAACATGACAGGAGTCAAGTGTCTGCAGTATCTACTTCCTGTTTGGTCACATGGTCTGTGTTTTCAGGTGTGTTAGAGAGGAGGCAGATCCCTGCTGAGCCGCAGCTGCAGGAGATTTAAACCACAGGTGAAGAACATTGTACAGACTTTGTTTTTCTCTGGGAGTGAAACAAAGAAAACCTGAGTGTGAGGGGAGAGATGAGCTGCTGCAGATTTAAACGCCCTGCTGCTGATTCTCTGGTCTGAAAAGTCAATTCAGCAGAAGATCTGGAATCACCTGAACCAGTGCCAGGTACTGACTCACACACACACACACACTCCCACACACACAGTGCCATAAATCCTGTCTTGTTAACAGACGTCTGAGTGTTGGGTGCCATAAATCCCTTCTTGTTAACAGACGTCTGAGTGTTGGTCCCGTCATAATTACTGACTAAGCTCCACACACAGTAAAAAGCTGCATTCTCAGCTGCAGGGTCTGATGGGAAATGTAGTCTCACCTTCTGCTGAGCATCTGCACACAGCAGGTCCCTGAAGCCACCAGGATGAGCAGCAGCAGAGGGATTGTGGGAATGATGACGTAGACCAGTAACATGCCTGGAGGGAGGAGGAGGACATCAGAGAGACGTTCCACTGAAGGACAGGACGTCAGTGGAAAAATGTCAGACTTCAGGAGAACCCGGAGTCAGTACCTGAAGTCGCCGTCGTTGTCACCTGAGGCTCCACCCCCGCTCCGCCAGAAGGTTGTTTGACCACGCCCCCATCTGCTGTCACCTCTGAGAAAACACATTCTGACCTCACAGTGGCGCTGGCTGCACTAAAAGGAACGGAAGAATCTGGAAGTCTCACTCACCTGTGCCCCACCCTGTAGTCACATGACTCTCTGAGGAAAGAAGTGAGTCAATCAATCAATCAATCAATCAATCAATCAATCAATCAATCAAAAACGTCATCAGATGTCAGGCGTCCAATTGGCTGATGATATGAGCCTACAGTTGCTGGTCGTACGATTCTGATTGGCCTGTGGTTTGGTGTGATTTGATTGGATGCTGACAGGGTCTGATTGGCTGGCTTATATTTACCTGGTTTGTATTTGCAGATGAAGTTGTGTTTCATGTTGCAGCGGTCATCGTTCCACTGGTACAAATACGGCCCGCCCAGACCAGAGGGTGCCGTCGGCTGATGGTACATGACGACACAGGCCTCTCCTCCACACGACGGCTCGTCAAAGTACCAGTTCCTGCAGCGTCGTGACATTTGATCTTTTCTTTAAACAATTGGTCAAATGATCTCCTGTAAACCGTGTGTGTGTGTGTGTGTGAGAGAGCAGCACCTGAAGGCAGCGGGGCTGTCGTCGGTCCACTGGTACAGCCGGGGACAGGAAGTGAAGGTGTTGGTGAGTTCTGGATGAGTCTGGTCGAGTGTGTCCACCCTGGTCAGACCGATCCAGAAGTCTCCGTCAGCTATGCCTCCTCCCTCCGCTCCACCTCCTGCACCTGAACGCAGCTCCTGGAGAGAAGATGGATGAATTTGAGGAGGCTGGGGAGGGGGAAGGGGGGGCATAACGAAGGCCAGGTCTGTGTCTCACGTGCAGCAGGTTCTCGATGTCCATCTGTTCTTCTTGACTCTCGATGCTGAGCAGCGACCCACCGTCCATCTCACAGGCTCGACAGGCCTCCCTGAACGCCACACGGCTGGAAACATCGTGGAAGTAAGCGATCTTGTATCAGGGACCACCTGGACCACCTGAACACACCGTCTGACCTGAGGGACCGAGACACTCAGCAGCGTCAGCAGCAGCAGCAGCAGCAGCAGCAGCAGCAGCAGCAGAAGCAACCACAGAAGCGTCCGGGGGGGGTTTACCACTTTTAAAAAAAAAGCCCGCGGCGGCGGCAGCAGCAGCAGCAGCAGTAGCAGCAGAGGTAACCACAGATCAGTCCAGGGGGGTTTTTCCACTTTTAAAATATAACAGTGATGTATTTTTGAATTAGAACTGATGTCACTGTGGTTACTGCCCTGGTGTCAGTGTCAATACAGGCTCCCATTAAGAATTACTCCATTACTCCAGAGAGAGAGACACAGAGACACACAGAGAGACAGAGAGAGAGAGGGGGAGCTACTTTAAGTGATTAGACTCTCACTCTTCTGCATCATCATCACTTTACTGTTAGAGCCACTAAAGAGCTTCATATATATCTGTCTATGAGCTGCTGCTTCAGCTTTTTGTTGCACCCCACACCACTGACTGTTACAGTGCTCTCCCCTAAACTTAAACCACCAACCCCTCTGGAATCAGTCCAGCTTTGATCATTAAGCCTAAAGAAACTGTTCACCACAGAGGCTGGAGGAAAGAAAGAAAGAAAGAAACAGAGGTAAAACCTCCAGACCAGGTCGGTGTGAGAGGGACAGTGTTTATAATATACTATTTTCAAATATATCCCATGATTTTTTATTTTTTTATCCCTGTACTTCCCATGTCTCTCCTTTGATAATTAACCAGGTCGATTCACATAAGAACTGATGAATCCAGGATTATCACACTGATGTGTCAAAATCAAGTACTCTACTTCATGTAGTACTCAGTGTAAGATGAAGCTGCGTCCAGAAGATTCAGAGCAGCATATCTCCTGTTGTAGTATTACTACACCAGTACTACAGACAGTACTAGTCAGAGGACACTAACTGTGGTTTGTAGTAGTTAACATTAGATCATCTATTAAACCGGTATAATCAGTCAAACTAAAAAAACCTTTTCATTGATCATTCATCAGAGTCACATCAGGATTCAAATGAATCTTTAATCTTTAAACAAATGTTCACAGATGAAAACATATTTGGTTTGGAGTAGTTCTGTCTCACACTCACCACTGAGGACCCGTGCTCCGTCCACGCCACCGACCGTCATCGTCATGACAACCAGCAGCAGCAGCAGCAGCATGAGAGAAAACATCTTTCTGGTTGTCCTGAAATTGGAAAATAAAAAAAAATAGAAATGTTTTTTTTTTCTTTGTTTTTTAACAAAAATTTAAATCAAAGTCCCAGGTTTTGTCCATGTTTCTCTTCTCCCGTCTGTGGCTCTGCTTCTCTCGCACTGACAACGAGAAACTGACTCTGTTTCAGTCACACACACACTCTCACACACTCACACACACACTCACACACACACACACACTTCTACCCCCTCCCTTCTGCTGCCTCTAATGGATGCACCAGCCCCCTCCAGTTACCTCCTCTTTCATTAAACCCTGGGGGGCCACATACATTTACTCTTCACTGGCACACACACACACACACACACACACACACTTACTTTAATTCACTTACAGAACAGCTGACCACTTCAGTTGTAATCCAAATTCACTGTTTATGTGAACGTGAATGTTGAGTGTTCCTATGTTTACATTTGTATACGTGTGTGTATGCGTGTGTGTATATGTGTGTCACAGAAACATTTAGTCACGTGATCACATTCATAACTGGAGCTAACGTGTCACCGACCGCAGCCTTGGCTGAGATTCTCTCTGACACTTGGTGCTGACTCCACAGTTTTTCCTTTGTCTTCAGTTTCTGTTCCCGTCAACAGTTGGACCTGAGCGTCCGTCGTCTCTGAGCTGCTGAGAAGTGGACGCGTGATTCAAACACGTAGCTGCCAGTGCTAGCCACGTTGCTAGTCGTTGTTAGCGGCGTATTAACAACACTGTATGACTTTAATGAGTGATTCATAAAACAGTTTTACTGCCCGTGACTATCAGGGTGAAACAACACAAAGAAGACGCTTTTTGACAGTAAATATTGGTAGCCTAGCATTGATAGCAACAACAGCAGCATTAGCCTTCTGAAAGTTTTATGTCAGAGAACACTGGGGTCAACCCTTAGAGTGTGTATGTTCAACACGGCTTCTAACTTGAGTGTCAAAATTCAAACAAAAGCTAATCTTATTTCAATTTTGTACGACATTTCAGTCCATATATTCTTGGGGTCATCGTTGAAGTAACAATGAATTTAAAGTCTTTTTTCTTCTTCTGCAGGTCTTCTTCTCCATCGTCTACTTCAGCAGCTCTGAGACACAAACTGTCTTATCCTGGTCCGTGAACCATGGCCTGAGCCACATCCTACAGTGACATCACGGGTGCCGAGAGTCTCTTCATGTCATTGGTGTGACTGGTGAGTCTAATGTCATCATCTGTGATGTGACGTCACAGAGAGAACCCTCAGAGTTCCATTCAGAACCTCATAGAGAAAGTGTCTGTTTTTACTCTTCCTTTATTGTGACTACGTTCCTACGATGACCATAAACTGGGTCCCACAGAGACAGGAAGTGACATCGGTTCATTCAGAGGCGTCCGTTATCATGCATTCATTTGAACATTTCCGTGGTGAAATCCTCTGATTAGCATTTGGACCAGATGAGCGATGACTCAGCGACGCAGATGCTGTTTGTAAAAACATTTGTGAGCGAGATTTAAAAACGTGTCACAGGAAGTTTATTATTCATCTCCCACAGACAGGAAATCAATAATCAGTCAAATCAAGCATGAGCTGCTTTCAATGCCTCTCACTATTCAGCATCGACTGAAGAGGTCCCTGAATGCAGCACGGGAACATTAAACCAATCATATTCTGTCTCTGTGCCTGAAGGATGTCCGTCCTTCATCAGCCTGTCCGTCCGTCCGTCTCTCTGTCCAACCTCCATATGTCCTTTTCTCTGTCCGTCTTGTCTTTAAGTCGAAAAGTTCTAAGACTGGAGTTCTACTGTGATATAAACCTGTCCCTTCGTCTCTGACCGTTCTTCATCCGTCCGTCCATTAGCCGTCACCCTGGGGCTGTAAAGCTTTTAGCACCTTTTTTATTGAAGTGTGTAATGTTTGTACTTTAGATTTGATTATGTAAAAATATGATATGGCCTGATCAATACCTTAGTATGTGTATGTGTGTGTGTATGTGTGTCGTGTATGTGTGTGTGTGTGTGCATGAGTGAATTGAATATCATTTTACTGACACACTTAGACTGACGTCTTTAAATGTGTAACATGATTAGGTTTAACCAGAAGTCAGACCAGGGTGGAGCAGCAGAGCAGGGTGGAGCAGCAGAGCAGGGTGGAGCAGCAGACCAGGGTGGAGCAGCAGAGCAGGGCGGAGCAGCAGAGCAGGGTGGAGCTTCTTTCTGTTGATTGAAGTTTGGTTTTTTTTTTGAGTGTAAACTTGTTTCCGAAATTTCCGAAATATCCTTAAAAAATAATTAACTGCGTCTTTTTTTTTTACGTAACTAAAATGTGTTTTTTTTTTAAATAGTTTTCCTCTGATTGTTGTCTTTGAGGTTTCATTGTTACCTAACCGTGGCTGCCTCGGGCTGATGTTTTCCTCTGATTGCGGTCTTTGAGGTTTCATTGATACCTAACCGTGGCTGCCTCGGGCTGATTGAAGCAGTAGGGGGCGCTTTCTTTTGACTCATACACCTATAAAACTAAAATGTCATCATCTATAATGTTAAAATATGAAATCAGGAGCTGAAGTTTAAGTCGTCACAAAAAACACAGAAGGGTGTGTGTGTGTGTGTGTGTGTGTGTGTGGTAATCAGTAGTAAGTGAAGTGTGTTTGGACAGGGATGATCAGCTGCTGGTAATCAATACAGAGATCAATACTGAGAACACAGAGGATATAACTGTGTGTGTGTGTGTGTGTGTGTGTGTGTGTGTGTACAGTTTCTTGATATAGATTGATTTTTTTTTTCTTTTTATTCAAACAATGAGATTGTGTTTGAAAAGCCTCATTAGCATAATGATGATGATACTGATGCAGCACATTGTTGTGTTTCTGTTGTTGATGCAGGAGAATGATTTCCCATCAGCCACTGCTGTGATCCAACAAGCACCAGCTGCTGGAAAATGTCCATCTCTGAGACACTTAAGCACCGAAGAGTAAACGCACGTGTGGCTCCTCTGTCTGTGAGTCCTGGAACACACACACACACACACACACACACACACACTTACTGCCGTCATCAAGTCTCAAAGATTCTCTGAACTGAGACTCATCAGGCAGATTGAGTTAAACCAACCAATCAGACGACGGCTGCTCAGACTGCACAATGACTCATTAACCTGTGTGTCTGTGTATATTGGTACACACACACACACACACACAGATATATTCATTTTTGCCTCTTTAGTCTCGTCACCTCTGACCTCTTTCATTCATCTATTGATCCATTGAATTATTGATGGAGATGAAACGTTCCTCTGTGGTGAACAGCTCCCTACACACACACACACACACTGTCAGGTTAACCACTGTGTGTGTGTGTGTGTGTAATAAGTGGGTAATTGATTACTTCCAGCAGCTCAGCATTTTAATAATTAGCTCCCAGTGTCTGTCAATATTCTGCCCTCCACACACACACACACACACGCACACACACACACACAGTCTGGTGTTGTGAATGGATGATTTTTTTTTTGTTTGAGATTTTTGTTTGTGACCCATCAACAAAATCCATAGAAATAATCAGATCTTTTTTCCTCACTTGAACATGAAACACGAGCAGCTGATTCAGTGCTGCCTCGTGTGGTCAGAAATATTATTGAAAAAATATTACTTTTGGTTCAAAGTAAAAAAAAAAAAAAATATTACGTTTGGTTTAAAGTAAAAAAAAAAAAAAAAACCCGGCGTCACACTGCCCCCTGTTGTCCCTCTAGTCTGTCGTCATTTCAAAACATTTTACACGTCAAACACTTTATTGATTGTTTTATCGACAGTGAAACGTTTCAAACTATGAAATGTAAACAGGTGATGATCAGTCAGGGGTCAGCTGACTCTGTAGTGTCCAGTCATCAGTTGGATGGGGCGATCAGATAATTCAGTGTTAATTCTTTATTCAGCAGCTGTCTGTGTAATGATCAGTCACCGATCAGCTGAACTTGAACCATCAGCTGGTTTTCAGCTCATCATTTCTCAGTCAGTGAGCAGCTCACATCAGTGTCGATTAGCTGATCCGTCATCAGTCTCGTCAACTGGTGAACCAGCGGATAATGATCAGCTGATCCTCTACTGATAGGTTAGTGACAAGAGAATCAGCTGATCTTTCATAGATCAGTCAGTGATCAGCTGACTCTGTATTCATCAGTTAAGAATCGGCTGCTTCTGTATTGAAATGTCATTAAACATCAGTTAAGAATCTGCTGCTTCTGTATTGAAATGTCATTAAAAACCTCAGGGCCACATTTCAGGTCTGCCAGGGTTAGCTTTAGCTTTAGCTTTGCTAGCATCCAACTGGCTAACTGTTTGTTTTCTGGGATTGATTTCAAACACCGATTTTTAAAATAAATACAGATAAAACACAGGCTTCACTGTCGTCCCTCCGTGACTGGTCCAGCTCCAGTCCTGTCCGTTCCTTCTCTTCTTCAGCCTTTTTGTTCCACACTAGAAACACAACAGTTTAAAAAAAAAAAAAAAAGACAAGAACCTGAGAAGATAAACTTAAAACACAAACATTTAAAACGGGAAGATTCTGATTGTCTTTAAAACTAAAGAGGACGTCTGGTCCTCTGGGGTGTCAGGAGCAGATCTTCTTTCAACTCAGGCTTCCAGTTGCCACTGCTGTATGTCTGAAGCGTCACATATTGCCATGAGGACGTAACCCTTAGGCCCCATCGGCTGAGAGACAGAGAGACACTGTCCAACTGAGACCTGGTATAGACGGTTGGACTTCTGCGCAGGAGACAGAAGACGAATGTAAGACAGAGAGGCAGAACTGCAGCTAATCCACTGGAGTAGCAGTAGCATGTGTGAGTCTCACCCCTAGGCTCCACTGCTGTGACCCTCCTGACCCGTGACACTTCATCAGTCTGGGCAGGTCAGAGGTTCTGACCTCAGACACGTCCAAACACAGAAGACCAGAGAGAATCAGCTGACCTTCTTCATCGTAGAGCCACACCTACAAATACACAAAGGACACGTTGTAGGAAAAAACAATCTTCCTGCTTAGCTTTACTACCAAAATTCAAATAAAGTTGAACTCACTATCAGTGACAAAAACTGACCACATGAGGCAGCAATTGATGCATTTATAAAACAAAACAAAAAAAAACCTTTTCTGTTTTTTTCCCTCATTTCTAGATCTCACCTGTTCAGGATCCTGGGGGTCACATGGTCGCAGCACAACAGCACCGCCCTTCTGGCTGGGTCGTCCCTGGGCCACAAGACAGCGGCCGGTTGAGAGATTGCGCAGCTGAAGGATGACAGACACACAATGACTTATATGCCCGAGGGGTGTGTATTGGCAAGAATCTGGAGATACAGAGGCAATGATACGATATATATTGCGATCCTAAAACACAATCAGGTTACTAAAATTAGAACAGAGGGATCTACAGTTGTAATCGAAAGAGAAGAAATAAACGGCATGAATATTTGCATGTTAAATTTTAATAAAAACTTCGACACAGTGCTGTAGAATATCGATCTCAAAACTTAATATTTGTGTATCGATATTTTCTTCCACCCGTACTATGACCTCAGCAGTAGAATGTTACCAAAGAGCGACGCCACTTACACGTCCTCGCTGCAGGACTTTAGGTCGCCTCACGCCTTTGTTGACAAACACAGGCGGCAGCGGCTTGTTTACATTGGCTCCAGTTTGCATCTCGGGGTAAATGTTATCTAGGTACCAGCGGAATGATTGACACTGCAGTCGCTTCCTCAGAGCCACACGTTCGCTGACGTCACCGTAGCTCCGCTCACGCAGCTCCGGACGCAGAGACAGATACTGCTCCTGGTTGGATGAAGACACAGAAGATGAGGACGAGGTGGACGATGTCGGCTCTGGTTTGTCCAGTGAGTGATTATTACCTTATACTCATCCATCCACACATGTGCTAACCGCAAAGAATTATGGGCCATAGTGTCTTGACCCCCTGGTGATCCATAGGGCCGACGCTTCCTGAAGATATGTCCGACTCTGGAGCAGGGGATGATGAGGAGCTGACCGCCACACATCCAGATCTGACCACAGACACAGCAAACATCAGAATTTACACCTGAACAATGTGACTGACTGCCAGCTGATGTCAGGATAACGGCTAACTGCTAACGGCTAACTGCTAACGGCTCTCACCCTGAAGGAGATCTCCAAGTTTTCTCCACCCCAGATGTTCATGCCGGCGTCATATTGGCCAAGCTCGATGAAGTACTTCCTGTTGATGGCGAACAGACCACCTGCCATGGTGGGAGACCTGCAGAGGACAATTGACATGATGTTTCACACAATTCAAAATCATCTTACACTTCAGGAGGCATCAGCAGGTGAGTGACAACACTTTACAAACATGAGGACCTAGCGTTGTCATACTCAGTCACGTGACTGACCCTCCTGTTACCTGATTGGTCCAGTGGCTCCCTCTGATCCACTGAGCTCAGAGGGAGGAACAGGGTCCCACTTGAAGTGCAGCCCCCAGTTAAACCCCCCCCTGACAACAGGGGAAGGGGAGTAAGTGAGGGTGTCCGCAGAGATGATGTCGATGACGGGACACACCACTGTGTGGCGATCTTTCTGGATGGGAGTGAGCAGCGGCTGCAGCCAGGCGTTGTTGACCTCGCAGTGACTGTCGAGGAAAACGAGGACATCGCCTGGAAAGAGATGAGGACAATTCAGGTCTCCGTCCACAGCTACACCTGGATGAAGGGCGGAGGACGCACCTGTGGCGTGTGAGGCTCCTATCATTCGGCCTCTGATGAGCCCTTCTCTTTTATGGTTCCTCACCAGTTTGACCTTTGAGCCTTTGAGCTCCTCTTGAATGTAACGGTCCAGGCCGTCCTTCAGCTCGTCTGTGCATTAACGACACAAACGTCTACAATCAAAATCAATCATGAAATTGATTGTGATAGTTGCTGCGTCATCAAGATGTCGAACATGGTTTTGCCTGAATTTTTCAACTTTATCAGTTTACCATAAAAAAAAAAAAACCTTCTGCTGTAAATTCTCCAGCTGAATAATACTTTACCGAGCTCGCTGTGGTCATCCACCAGGATGATCTCGTGCAGCAGGTACACGGGCGTTCGGTCTAGAACGCTGTGGACAGTCCTCAGCAGGGCAGAGAAGGCTTCATTAAAGAAACAGATCACGACGCTGGCTGAAGGTAGAGTCAGAGGGTAGACCTTATCATGACACCTGGGCAGAGATTGAACCCTGGTTAAAACCATGATAAACACTTGTGTTCTTATAAAACAAAATGTCTGAACGGTCTTACAGGGCGTCCCGGGTGTCAGGCAGCTGGCGGTGATACCCCAGGCGGGTGGAGATGAGAACGTTGAAAGCGTGACGATGGTACCCGGTGTCCCTTAACTCCTGGTCGGCCTCATTAAAGATCATCCCTGCAAAGGCAGGTTTGGTCAGTGCTAACCAAAAGATCACATTCTCCCTGCAGTAACTGGAGAGACTGCAGACACTCACCCATTTCTGGTGACAGCTCCACACCCTGAATGGCCGGTACAGGTCCGCGCTCCACCCTGTGCCTATCTGCCAAACCTCTGGCTTTGCTTTGGAGATGGTGCTGCAGCGGCGTCCTGCCATCGCCAGGCTCCGTGGAGAGAGAGAAGTAGAGGAAGAGCAGCAGAGACCAGGTGACCGATGTGGCCAGGCAGCCGTAACAGAAGTACCGCAGCGTGATACTGGCCATGGTGGCCGGCTGAGCATTGCCTTACATTACGCTGCACAAAAAGAGGATTTGATTCAGGATGATTGAACACGATCTCTAATTTCTCCAAAAACCTGTGAATGTTACAATTAACATCAATCAGCGTTATTCAACATGATAGGTGTTAAAAAATGAACACATTTAGTGTCACTGGTTTTTCCATGAGGATTGGGTATTGTCCTGTGTTTAACTGTCTTTAACATGTTCACTCATTTACTTAAATGACTGCTTGGATGACTCGACCTGCTGAGTCCAGCATTCTTTCATATATGGAATCACCACAGGGTCAACGGTCAGAGGAGCAGATGAGTTTATTTTTTAACTTTTTCTAACTTTTATCACCCGTGTTTAACCAAATGAACAACAAAGTTATGAAAGTCTGACTCTGAAACACCTCTGACGTTAATCTTAGTTGGATTTTTCTTTTACAGTTCAGAAATATGAAAATTAAGATGTCAAAAAAGTATTTTCCTTAAAATATTTCATACTCTTGTTAGGTCCTGATACTACCATGATTTCAAAAGACTCAACCCTACTATGTTTTTGTTTGTTTTTAACGTGGCAACCACCTGTTACAGAGCAGCTGAAACACAGAACAGTGACGTACCTGTGTTTACATGGATGTGCATAGAGCCGAATTAACATAGAAATGTATGTTTTAGGGAAAAAACGAATACATTTATACAGAGAGAGGTCATTGTTTAAACGTAGAAAACACTGTTTGTGCAGTTTAAGTTCCTACGCTGCTGTAACAAAGATACATAAAGACAACATCTACGGACACTAAGTCTCTTCATTTCTGAACAATTCAAAGAACATGTCAGTATGTTCTTTCTTGTTAAAAAAACACACTTTGCAAAGCTATGATGATAGAACATGTTAGCATATCTAGCCTCAGCTGAGCTTAGGTGTGTCTTCTATCTAAATCGTTGTTTTCCAACAACGCTTCTGTCTCAGTCTGGACCGTACTTACGACTCGCAAGCTCAAAGCTGGTTGCTTAGTAGCACTCGGAAGCAACGGTCGCCGGTGAGCCTCCGGCTCAGATAGCAGTTAGCCGCTAGCCGCCGTTGCGGCTAAAATAGATAGTATTTCCAGTGCAGATCCGAACGGAGCTACAGCTCCACTGTTTACTTCAGTGTTCAAAGATCCGCAGCAGCCTCTCAAATTTCTCTACTGACCGTTCACTCTGACACGTGATTTCCGATCAATCTTTTCGTAATAAAACGCATACCGTTGCTGAAAACACTTTCAAAATAAAAGGTGGGTGTTTGCTCCGAAGCGGCCACTGGGGGGTGCTAACAAACAATGATTGCAACAGTCAAAATGATTGCGCCGCTGGTGAGACAATATGGTAATGTCATCACACTCGTCATTTACGGTAAAAACAAAAACTCGAGCGGAAATAAAGTTAGCTTCGGAAGAAAGGATAAAGAACATGGGCGAAAGTGCAGCTCGGGTTAGTGAATAAAGGCACCGTGGGAACTATGTTGAAACCCAAGGCTAACTATAGATTAGACTAAAATGTTGAGATATTTCAAAGTAAAGGTTCATCCTCAACTATACCGCTGCCAACATGTTAACAGTTAACACTGTAATGATGCTAGAAGTCTTGTTCACAGTGATGTTGACACTTACGTCACTAAGGTGCACATTAACATGGTATGATGTCAGCAATGCTAACATTACTACATTAACATAGTATGATGTCAGCAATGCTAACATTACTGACAACAACACTTAAAGCAGCGGTGTCAACAAAATGTCGACATTTTTCTAACAATGTGAACAGAAATGCTACGTATAAGAGTCCAGTCTAAATTCTGGTACCTGGGTCTCTACTGCTTCTTTCACAGCCCGGAGATCGCCGCTGCCTGAAGGACATCGAACCTCGTCTTTTTTCTGATGACGGCAGACCAGAACAGGGTGACTGATCACAAAAGTTTCTGTCTGTTGTGTAATAAAACATGCCAAACATGTTCAGGTCTCCCTGATGGTCCCTTGTTTTTGTTTCCCCCAGGTGGAGTGGTGGAGCTTTATGGTCCAGAGGGCACAGGTGAGGTCAAGAAACGACTTTGGTCCATTACAAGGAGTATACAGTATGTTATATACTTAACACATTCAGGTGTATTTGTCTGTAAGGCAAGACAGAGCTGCTTTACCACCTGATATGTCGCTGTGTGCTACCGAAGAGTGCTGGTGGACTAGAGTTGGACGTCATGTTTGTGGACACTGATTATAGTTTGGACATGTTTCGACTGGTCAGCATCCTGGACAGCAGGCTCAACAAAGGTAAGCATGTTTAAAAATAGTCAGAGACATTTTATTGCTCAGAGCAGTACAATTTGTGTGAATATGTTTGTGTGCAGCTCTCCCTAAAAGTTCACCCTCTGCTGGATCAGACGAAGAGGCACTACTGCGTTCATGTCTTTCCCGACTTCTGGTTGTCCACTGCTCCTCTTCTGCACAGCTCCTTCTAACGCTCCACTTCCTGGAGAACTCTTTCTCATCAAGGCCTAGCCTGGAGCTACTCCTCATTGACAGCATCTCTGCTTTCTACTGGCTGGATCGCTGTGAAGGTGGACCCAGCTTTTCCAAGCAGGAAGAGAAGCTCAGCAAGTGTTCAGATCTGCTAAGTCGACTACTCAGGTATTCATCAAAAAAATCTAATAGTTTGATTTTTATAATCTCTGATGTTTCTGTGAAGTTTGGTAGGTTTTTTTATGGTTTTTGTAGTGGTTGTAGTTGATGTTGAGGGATTCTTGTTTACATTGCTGAGTTTGCACAGAACCTGCCGTAGAACCATACAACTCTACAGGAATAAAGTACAAATACTGATATATGGCTACTTTCCCCAGGGACTACAGAATTACTGTCTTTGCCACCTGCCATTCCATCAGGAGGGTCCAAACGGGGCTGTCCTCCTCAGCCTCTTTGTCATACTCGTCTGACTCTGACAGATCATACCTCTGTCGCTCCTGGCAACGCCTGGTCACCCACCGTCTGATGTGCTTCCGACAGGAAGCTGCAAATAACACGTCTGATGAAGCAGGAAGCAGCATCCAGCAGAGGATACAGCAAGTCTTCAGGGTCCACTGCATCTCCTCCTTTTCATCTTCTGGATCAAAACCTTACAAGACCAACTCATTTTATGTGACAGATGCAGGAGTAGAGTTCACCTCAGTCTGACGTATTTGGAGGTGTTGGGATGTTTTATAGAGCTTGGGATGTTTGGTGACCCTGACACTCAGAACTAAATGAAATCAAACAACTGTGTCACACATCTGTTCTGGAAACTTTGTCAGAGTTCTGCAAGTCTTTAGAAGTGATTACTTAATAAATTGATATGCTGTATGATCTCCTAAAAGATGTTCAGGTGTTAAGGTGTAAGCTGATTAAAACTGTTGGGTTGATGCTACTTCGTGTGATCAGATGGTGCCACTGAGTCAATTTTGAGGGATGAGTTCTTCATGCTTTCATATAAGATATTTCATCCTACAGGTTTAGTGTAGCAGTCTGCTTAAAAAGTTGAGCTGCACAGGTACAAAGTTGGGCTGTTCTTACATAGGTAATAATAGCAAGCAGGTGATTCTACTGTGGAAATCGTTTTAAGGCAGCAAGATGTCTCAGCTTTCTTGTGTGTTTATGTGTAGCAAGGAGGTTATTTTGTAATAATAACAGCAGTTTTAAATTGTTTTATCAGTTCAGATTTTAGGATTGAACCGTTCCACTTTTATGTCTTACTATAATACTATAATGGGTTGGTGAACAATAGTGCTGACAAAAGTATTGTTTTCTGTCCGTTGTATACCCAAGCAAATAGTTTTTTCCTCGTTCCCCTGCAGGAGGTGCTAAAAACGCGGTTGTAATGTAATGGCCTCTTAAACATTAACAAGTAATACATTTAGCGTTGGAAACTAGTAAAAACATACCGACTATTACAAAACCACGTCATTACAGCTGTATCCCGGAATACTGGTATTGGTCAAATATATTACAACATTGAAATAAAAAAGAATAACAAAGATATAATGTGTTGTACTTCGATCAAGGTTCAGTCCAAACCACCTTAGATCCAGTCCGGGTATTGAGATATGATGACAGAGACCGCTTCACACATCACACAGATCCGTCCGCGGGGTCAGGCATACTTTTTTTACACAACACAAACAAAATATTGGAGTTGGACGCAGACATAGACATCGATACCCACTGTAAGCTGCCTCTGTGACGGGATGACGCTGTAAAATTGAAGAGCAACCAATAAACCGAACACGGTAAACAATTCCCGCTCTTCACACCGCAACCCCCTGTGATCAGTAAGCTTTAACTGTGCTGGAAAAGCTGGAGAGGAAAAAGAGAAACGCATCACATCAGTAAGGACGCACTTTTCCGCCTCTTCTTTTCGTACACCAGCGGCTTTAACTCTCGCATTTTTCATATGTAGCACCCTTTAAACAGACGCAGATGCCTTAGTTTTACTGTGGCGGCAAACAACATTGCCACAGAGCCTCGTTGTGCTGGTTTGTGCTGCGCGCTAATGCTAATGCTAACAGAGGTAATCAGTCAACTGGGCGGAAGCTAAAAGCTAATGGCTAACGGTTTTATACACATCAACTGCAAGTGATGGAGGTCATAGCTTCATGCGTGTAAACAAAACTGATGCGTAAGGTAGTTACAATAAGAATGCTTGTTAGTTAAGATTATGCTAGTTTGTTGTACCAGGTTTATGTTGACTCGTGTTGAGAATTGATCAGTTAGCAACTCGTAAGGATGCACTGACAGCTTATTTGATCAGGTCATTGAACACGTGACACAAACACTTTTTATGATCGCTCATAATCAGTTATGAAGGCAGTGGTTGTCAGCTAAACGTACACATGCGATCCCATGTTGTTTCGTTTGTTTACATGACAATAGAGGGAGTTACACGAATTTGGACAATTAATCAATGACATAGAATGCTCAAATCTTCTAAAAATAGACCCAAGGAATCGCATCAAGTGTCTACTTTTCCCGGCCTGTTTGTATTTCCATCCCTGTATCAGCAGCTGCGAGAGTCATAGCAATTTGAACATATTAAATATGGTTATGTATCTTTTCTATTTTGTACCATTGTTTTTTTAAATAGAGATGTAAATAATATTTTAAAGAGCTAGTAACAAAAACAGGAAACGTCTTTTAACAGAGAGCATGTTACAGAAAAAATAAGAAGAGGTTAAGAGAGTTAATAAGTTTATTTAGATTTGATTTGAAAAATTACCAGACAGCATGGTTAGAGGAGTGATTGGCCTAGTTTTTGGTTGTAGTTCAAGCCTCATTTTGCACAGTTTGCCAGTGTCTTGTGACCGTCTGCACCTTAAACCATAAAACCAATACTTGCATTGCCCTCAGGTACTTCAATCCAAATTTAAGAGAGGAATTGTGTATTTGCCATGGTTCAGTATTCATACTGAAGCCTAGAAACAATAATGTCCATTTTGCATTAGTTCGAGCTGATGCAGGTTTCAAACTTGACAAAACCTGATACAAGCTTAGAACTCTTTATTGTTGAAGTGGAACTGACGGATTTATTACACCGTGCTGCTGGTTTGAGATTATCTTCTAAAACTTCAAATCCATAATCACTGGATTATAAAGCACTGACGTTTAACAATGATAGTCCCAAACTAATAATCTTACTGTTTTGATAAATGTGGAACATTTAACTAATTGCATCTTCAACAGAGATATTCAGAGCACAAGCTTGAGTTACATTTAAAAATTTTATTTTAAAAAAGCAAACATTTCACACACTAAAGTTTATGTTGTAAAAAATTGTCTTGTGATGCCTTTTTTTTTAAAATTCAGAATGCCTTCTGAGGCTCAGTCCCAGGAGCCTCGGAACAGAGGACCGCCCCCTCCTGTCACCCGAGCGGGACGCAGTGCCCAGTTGGCCAAAGCTGCTGCTACATGCTCCATCAATGACAGGCGGCCTCGTGGGCGACCTAGAAAGGATGGGAGTGGGGGGCGTTCAAAATCACCTGTTCCTCCACCGCCGCCGCCTCCTCCTTCAGCTTCAAAATCCAGAAAGAAGTAAGTAACACCAAAACACCAAAAAGGGCTTTAAACTGCAAACATATGCAGAGGCAAATGGCCAATGCTTGAAGTGTGTGTGTGTGTGTGTCAGCGTCAGCCTATAACCTTCACTGGTTAGTTGATTGGTGCATATCTATTGACAATTGACCAGTGTTGTGAAAGTTTGCTTTTGTTCAAAAGTAAAATATGTGTGCATGTTTACAGGGGGAGAAGTCGAGGAAGAGCACAGGTAGAAGATGAAGAGAGCATGGACACGATGGAGAATAAACTACCCCCAAAGACAGGTGTGTGGAAATAAAACAGTTTAATTTTAAAAATATAAGATAATATCAAATGGTGGTAGTAACTTCACGGCTGTTTTTTATTCACAGAGGTTAAGGAGAAAACCACAGGTTATCGACGATCCACATCCAGAAGGAAATCTTCCACAAACCCTGACCTGGACCCAGATCCTGAACCTGACCCAGATCCTGAACCTGACCCAGATCCTGATCCTGAACCTGACCCAGATCCTGACCCAGATCCTGAACCTGACCCTGGTCCTGACCCTGAACCTGAACCTGAACCTGACCCTGTACCTGAATCTGAACCTGAACCTGAACCAGAACCAGGACCTGGACCTGGACCTGTACCTGTACCTGAACCTGAACCTGAAACTTACCCCGATCCTGATCCTATATCTAATCCTATACCCACACCTTTATCTGAACCTGAAACTGACCCTCAACCAAGTCAGGACAGACTTAGTCCAGAGCCACAGCCTAACCCTGATCCACCTCCACCTGACCCAACAGTTACAGAGTGTGCTATTAAATTAGATCCTAATGCTGAGGTGGATTCCGGGCCCAGCTCTAGTCCTGTGTCCTCCCCAGGGCCAGGTCCCAGTCAGGTGAAAGAAGAAGAAGAAGAAGAAGTTAACCTTGTTATCCATAGTCTTGGTCACAGTCCAAGCTCAAACCTCCAACCACCTCCAGATTCTGTAAATAAAGAAGAGGATGATGCATCCACCACAACACACAACACTGCACCTACAGACAATTGCAGTCCCAGCAAGGAACCCACAAAAACAGAAGGGGACGTAGCCAGACCCATGGCTCACAGTCCTACTCTGAGTCCTTGTCACAGTCTTCCGGTCTCCCCCTGTCCCCAGCTGGAGGACGAGGACTCGCTATCCCCGCTTTTCCTCAGGTCTTTGTCTGACGACTCCGCCAGCTCACCCACTCCCAGCCTGAGCCATGCCCACAAACGGTGAGAGAGTTTGAGACCAGAGTTGGCATGTATACAATAACGAGACCAAGTTTCTTCTGTTTTTTGCTAATGCTTACAATGTGTTGCTTTGTTTTGTTGCATCTGACCAAATTATCTTAACTATTTTTAATCTAAAGGTTTTGTGTTTTGGCCTGTAAATTATTTTAATAGTAATTTGCATTTCAAGTTTTCTTGTCTAATTTGTTCTCTATTGGAATTTAGCCTGCAGCAGTGTGCCTTCTGTTACCGTGGCAATGATCCTCCTTTGGGTCAGGGTCATCTGCTTGTGTTTGGCCCAACCCCTGGCTACATCCCTCTCCACATCCTCAATCGCCGCACTTCATCTGACCGAGACAGTGACTGCCATGACCACTGCTACCAAGGCAGCGAGGCCCCACCATTGTGAGTAACTTTTTGTTCAACTTAACAGGATTATTGTCAAAGAGAGGATTTAAAAAAAAAAAACAAAAAAAAACATGCTGAATTTCTTTGTGTGTGTGTTTTTGTTTGCATTTTTGTGTAGGCCCAGCACTCCAGAACAGTGTGGTGAGTAAGCTGTAGTTTACCAGTGCATGACTGATGTTAATCTAGATTTGTATATATCAGTGCTTAAAGGTGGAGTCTGTGGTTTTGTTTGTTGTAATATTTCAGAGTCTTCCTCAGAATTTGTGGAGCAGCTTGGACTCATCGGCCTTCCACATGATGTTAACGTCCAGTCACTGTTTGACCCAACAGGTACAGGAAATGACCTCACCTGCTTCTTTTTTTCTCAACCAAAGTGCATTTTGTTTCACTTGGCTTTTTAACTCTGTTTGTATTTTTGTAGGTCAGTGTTGTGCTCACTTGCAGTGTGCAGCTTGGTCAGAGGGGGTGTGTCTTGGTGAGGGCCAATCGCTGCTGTATGTGGACAAAGCCATCGATTTAGGAAGCACACAGGTCAGTACCTCTAGTATAACTGCTAATGAAAGATCACAAGTCCAAGTTGAATCAAGTTTTACAAAGTCTCACCATGTTCCTCCTGTGTTGCCTTTGCAGGTGTGTGCTTTCTGCCATCGCCTTGGGGCGTCTTTGCGGTGCCGACAAGCGGGTTGTGGGTGGAGCTATCACTTCCCTTGTGCAGCTGCGTCTGGGGCTCATCAAGACTGGAATCAGAGACGCATACTGTGCACAAGACACTCAGACACAGGTACACACAGATGAACCCTATACACACACATGATTCAGAAGATAAAGACTGTGTTTAACTAACCTGACACAAAGATAAATACACTCAGCCTCCAGGAGTATTTCTGTCTTACTTTCACTTCCCCCTTTCTTACTGTCACTCTTTCTTTTCAGCCTCTTCGGCACAATGTACGTCATGTTCAGGTACTGGTGATGTTAGCAGCCTGTTGATGTGCTGTTGCTGTGGTAGCCATTACCACAGTACCTGCCTTGATCCCCCTCTCCATCCCTCACCTCTTCGACGGGTTGGCTGGCAGTGTCCAGAGTGTAGAGTGTGTCAGATTTGCAGGTAAACATACACACACTCCAAGATTCACATACACACATACATACTAAGTAGTGACTTGTCTTTATTCTTCCTGACGCACTTGCCTGTTATTCCATACAGATTGGGAGGTGACAAGGGTGTGCTGTTAACGTGTGAGTGCTGCGATAAAGCCTTTCACGCTCTCTGTCTTACACCATCACTGGACCAGGTGCTGACCAGTGGCTGGAGCTGCAAGGTGAGACACACAAAATATTTTTGCATTACATAATGTTTGGTAGTTATTTTTGATTAGGTCACACAAACATGTACTAAAAACCTGACTTCAAAACTCTCAATAGAACTGCAGAGTCTGCCGTCGTTGTGGTGTGAGGTCTTCAGGCCAATGGGCAAATCACCCGTTTCTATGTGAGTCATGTGACCTGGCCCTGCCCTGTCCTCTCTGTGGCCACACCGCCGGCCTTTATGGACCACAAGAGTATCTCACCTGTACTTGCTGCTACAGGTATCTGAATAGATAAAGGAATTCTAGACCCGGTCATAAAACTGTTATAAATTGATTTTCCTGCTTACAGAAAATATTTCAATCTATTTGTTCTGTTTCAGGTGTGTCCACACAGAGTGCATTGTCCAGAGTGGGGAGGGCAGGGCAGGGTCTGAAACATACATATGCTCCACCTGCAGGACTCAGGAGGAGGATGTAATTCCAAGAAGTCCCACACAAAACAGCCCAACCTGTCTACACCTCGTTCCCTTAAAGTCTCTGTCCCCAAATATTTTACAGCCACCAGACAACAGTCATACTGAGAATCCACCCATCAGTTCCATTCCACCGCAAAGTCTCAAAGTAGCCCTTATGGATATGTCAGAGGTTGAGAAAATCAATGAACCTACACACACAAATTTGCCAGAACCTCAACGGAGTTCCACATCTAGTCCCATTAACTCATTAGAGTCAAAGAGTCCAGGATCTGTTCACCCTGAGATTCAAGAAACTCCTGCTCAAGATAATCTGTCAGAGCTCTCCAGAAGTCAAGAAGCAGTAGACAGTTATCCGCCTGAACTTCAGCAAACTTGTGCACCTGCATCCCCCAATCTATCAGAAGTCCCCAAAAGTCCAGATTCTTTTGTACCTGATTCAACAGATCTTCAACACCCTCCTATTCCTCTCAATGAATCAGAAGTCTTCGATAGCCCTCAACCCATTCAACCTGATCTTACAAACTCCCCTAAGTCAAATCTTTCAGAGGTCTCTGAAAATCCCAAACCCATTGAACTTGATTCAGCTGAGCTCCATCACACTTCTTCAGGTCCTAATTCAGATACAGTTGAGGAGCAGAAGGCTCCTGAAGCTCTCCATCCTGATCCATTGGAGATCAAACAGTATCCCACACTGCCTCACCCTAACTCTGAGGTCCAACAAAGCAGCCCACCCAGTGACTTTGATCCATCGGATGTTGAAAAAGGTCCTGAACTGGTTTGTCACGATTCAACAGCGCTGCAAACCAGTACCACACCAACTCACCCTGGTCTCCAACAATATTCAGAACCTGCTCAACCTGATCTATCAGACTTTCAACATCAAACATCTACTAATTCTGATCCATTGAATTGCTCACCCACTGACTCTATTTCATTAGAGCTCCCATTGAGTTCTGTAACTGTTCACTCTGATTCTACAGACCTCCAGGTTAGTTCTGAATCTACTCAAAGTGATCCAGTAGAGCCTCAACAATCTCCAAAACCTGCTAACCCTGATTCACCAGAGATGGAACTAAATCTTGAACCTCTTCAACATAAAACTTTAGCGGCCGAACCTACAGATTCTGAGCCATCTGATGTGCAGAAATGTCCAAAATCTGATCATTCTGATTTTTCGTTCACCAAAGACCCTGCACTGAGTCAGCCTAGTTCACCACAGCTCCAAGAAGATCAGTCATCTATTCATCATCATGCATCTAATCTCCAGAGAACTCACCCAGCTAATCCCAGTCCATTAAAACTGAAACAGGGTCCTACATCTCCCCAGTCCCCTCCACCTGACATTCAACAAATTTCTGCATTTTCTAATCCTGATCCAGTCAAGATTCAACTAATCAAAAGTCTTGAAACTGAAAATGATGATCCTTCAGACATTGAAGTAAGTCATGAAATTGGACAACATGGTCCTGAAAGTCTTAAACCTACCCACTCTGAACAATCCCACCTCATTTGTAAGGACTATTCTGAGCCCCAATGTAGCCCTTTGGAGATAGAAACACCTGCTTGTGAAGTACAACATGAAATCTTACCACTTAAACAGAATCCTGCAGAACTTCAAGAATTATTCCAAGGTGGTCCAACTGAACTTCAGGGAAGTCCCAAGCTTGAAGATAGACCTACCCCATCTCCCCCAATTGCAAAATCATCCTCCACACAGTGTCTTTCTGGTTCAACAGACCTTTTCAAAACTGAACTGTCACCCTCTAGTCCTGTTGAACTGCAACAAAGCCCAACTCACATGATTTTAACACAGGCCTCAAATTCACTTACCCACAATTTCTCAGAGGAACATCTTACAGCCAAACAGCCTCAGCCAAACAGCCCCCTTCCTTGTGGCCTTGCACAGAGTCCTGCTGAGGACACCACTGCCCAGACCCAGTCTGAAAATTCAGGCATTTCTTCGGTTGTCATTTTAATGCAGTCCCCAACTAAGCCTCACTATGATGCACCTTGTAATATGACCTTTAGTCCTGCATGCCCTGGCATTTCATCTTCACAGAGTCCTATACAGAATGATAAATCTACACTGGACCACAAGACCTCTGGTTTTGCCAGTTCTGTTCACCTGCATCATGAGACTGAACAGGATACTTCTACACTGGACCAGGACACCTTACCAGTCTGTCATGGGTCTACCCAGACTAAAAGGAGACATACCTCAGCCCCATGCAGCCCCGTACAATCCAGACTCAGACCTACACCAGCATGTAGTCTGTCTTTGCCTGGAAGCCCAGTACAGGTCGACTCTACACAACATTTAAGACCTTTACTGCTGAGCCCAATAGCTTCTTATCTTACTGAACAGTCCACACTGACAGGGGAAAGCTCTGAAAACTCAAATGTGGAGTTGTTATCTGTCAAAGTTAGCTCTGCACAGTTGAGTCCAAATAAAGATGCCCAGACACTGGAAAGTAATCCCACCTTTGAAAATCCTACCATGCACCACAACATGGATGCTCAACTTTCACACCAGAGTAGCATGATTAGTCCAGAACCATCCAGTCCATGCAGTATCCTTCCTGTTCCTCCACCAGAAAGCCTTCTTCACACTAGCACTTCAGTGGAACACAGTAGCCTAACCCTCTCACCTAGTGCTGATAAAGTGGAGGAGACTTCATCCCCTTCCAGCCACATTCATCAAACGCCTTTAAATGACACACATTCTGGCAGCATGGAGGCTAAAGCTGATCCTCAGCCCCAACCTGGTTTAGGTGATATTAACCTAACGCATACCAATGAAATTCCTGTTTGTCCCACTCTTCAGGCTAATTCTAGCACTATCTGTAGCGCTTCCAGTATCAACCCTAATCTCCCTGAAACTGTCATCTCAGCAGATTCTCCCTTATGTCAGGACGAAGAAATGCAAGCGGCTGTCAACACTTTAGCTGTGAATCCTGAAACAAAAGATGAATCCTGTAACCCTGAGCCCCTTTCAGTTAGTCCACTTTTTAATGATACTCAAACCAGTCCTGTTTCCAAGGAAGGTAATGGTGACTCACTGCATGCAGATACTCATTTGGCTCAAAGTCCAGTGGCCTCTTGTCCATCATCTCCAATGCATCCGTGTCTTTCAAGTCCTAAGCATCCATCAAATCTACAGCAAATTTGTCAATCACCTCCAGTGATTTGCCCATCAAGTCCACCAAATCCCTCTCCTTCAAGTCTCCCAGATCCCTGTCTGTCAACTCCTACAAATCCCTGTCCTTCAAGTCCCTTGAATCCTTTATCTTCAAGTTCCTCGAAGCCTTGCCCGTTAAGTCCCTCGGATCCGTGTCCGCCAAGTCCCTCAAATATCTGTTTGCGAAGTCCTTCGAATCCTTGTCCGCAAAGTTCCTCAAATTCTTGTCCGCAAAGTCCTTCGCATTCTTGTCCAGAAAGTCCCTCAAATCTTGGTCCGCCAAGTCCCACGAATCCGAATCCTTGCCCAGAAAGTCCCTCGAATCCCTGTTCCGAAAGTCCCTCGAATCCTTGTGTGTCGAGTCCTTTAATTCTGTGTCCGTCAAGCCCCACTCATCACTGTCCGTTGAGTCCAGCTCACTCCTCTCCCTCAAGCCCCACTCACCCTTGTCCACCAAGCCCTCCACAACCATGTCCATCCAGTCCTCCACTTCCATGTTCTACAAATTATCCATATGTAGAACCTTCCAGTCCTTTACTGGTGACTGTAGCTGGATTTAGTCCTTCTCACTGTAGTCTAACCGACCCTAGTCCAAACAGAAGCTCTGTTAGTCACAATCTCAGCAACATTGCCTCAGAGAGCTGTGTCCACCCAGATCCCAACTCTGCTATCCTAACTGGTGATAGCATTCTTCACGTTTCTCCTAGGTCTAGTCCTGCTGGTCAAGCTAGTCCTGTTCACATAACCTCCACAGGTGTCCATTTAAGCAGAAAGAGTTCCTCATTAACTAACTCGCCACACAGCAGCTCTGCACATACTCCTGTTATTGGTAGCCCACCTTGTAGTCCAACTCAGGCAGTTGAAAGTCCTGCAGATGAACCGCATTATAGCTCAGCAAATGACACTGGAACCATTTTTGGGCACACTGTTACTCAGACAAGCTACCCATTACCCATTTCTGCAACACAGAGTACTCTGTTTACTGGGGAGGTCACCCTCAGTCCAAGTCATGAATCCCCAGATCCATTCAGCTCAGATGCCAATTCTAATCTTGATAGGTTGAGCCAGCCCCCAGTGTGTCCTGAAATGAAACATAATGAGTCGTCTGCCTCTGTGAGTCTGTCCAATCAAAGACCATCCTCCCCTGCTAATCCTACTGCAACTCAACCTGCGAGTCCGGGTTCTAGTCTGTCCTCAGATCAGGATAACACTGTGGTGCCCGGGTCTAGTCATTCTCCTCATCCGGCGTTTGTTGACTCACAGGTTAGCCCTGTTCAGACACAGTCTGTAAACAGAACCAAAGTTGAAAGTCCTGTTCATGCTTCAGATTCAGTTTTAATTCAGACCTCTGCAATATCTGGTCTGCATAAACCTGCATTGTCAAAAGAAAGTCATGTGTCTGACAGTGAAGCCAGTCCCAGTTCTGAACAGTGTGAAAACCACACCATCACTGACCTTAACCCTGAAAACGTGGACAAGTCTGTGTCTAGTGCCACAGAAACAAGGGCAAGATCTCCGGCTACCGAGGACATGGATCAGACAAGCATACTATCAAAGGAAGAGGACGATTTGGAAAAATCCAACTGTGAAGGAAAAAATGAGAGTGAGGCTTCAAATCAGGCCAGAGAAGTGAAGAAGTTTGAGGTTCATCTTATTGAAAAAGTCCAACCAGAAGATGGGGAACCAGTTGTGAGGACAGAAGGACTACAAGACAAGGAGCAGGTTTCTTCTTTAGGTGAGTTTTTGTTTTCATTCTCAAGGTAAAATAATTTTCTTAGTCTCACTATAAAGGTTCACATGCTTAATTATGTAAGGTTTAATTATGTATATAGACGTGGTTCAGAACAAATGTTTAATCATTTTTTTGTTTTGTTTGTAGGTGTTGATACATCACTCCTTTCTGAAGACCCTCGGATGTCTCCCTCCACCCCTTTACACCTACAACAATCTTCTTCCTCCCCTTTACCTCAAAAACAAACTCCTTCTCCTTCCTCTCCTCAACACTCTATGCCACAGTCTCCGTTTCCCCAATCATCACCTCCTTCTGCTCCCCTTGGTTCCTCGTTACCACCTTCTCCTCTTCCTACTGAAGGTGACTTTGAGGAAGCCTCTTCTTCCAGCTTTTCCTGTCCAAAGACTCCTTTGACGCCCTCCAGGTCCAACTGCTCTCCTCATCCTTCAACGTCTCCATTAAGGAACCGCATCCTGGAAACAGAGCCAATAGCTCATCCAGAAGGACCAGTGCTTGAAACGGGGGAGAAGGAGGAGCCTGATAACACAATCATTGCTGCCCAACTACAAAGCCAGTTAGAATCTTCAGCAACAGAACTAGCCAAAGATGAGCACCAGTCACTCACAGAGAAGTCAAAGGAGGCTACTGAAAACCTACAAGTAAGGGAGGGAGTAGATGACGAAGAGGGGGAGAATGAGGAGGATGCCAGCCAGGAGGACCAGTTAGTACTAGTGGGGAAAGAGGAGGAGTCATTAAGTCCAGTGCTGGACATGGACTCCACTTTTGACAAGGAGGTTATGGACCTGATGACCTCCTCTTCTCCTCCACCTTCACTCCTCAACCTCTCTCCAAACAGTTCTCCGCCCTTCTCCCGCCGTGAGAAGTCTCGTCCTCTAAGGGCAACTCCTCCCTGGAGCTCCAGACCTGTGGATGATCTATCCATTCGTCTAAGACAGTCACCCTTTTCCACCGAAGCATCCCCTGAAACTTCCCCGAACAGGGTTCCTGTCACCCCCCCTCCTCTGTCCCCACCGTCACCTCCTTCATCTAGGGAGTCTCCAAACCTCAAGGTAACTCAAACAATAATTTTGTTTCGATTTGATTTTTTTCTTTCAGTAATTTTCCTCTTGTGTTATATCCTTTTTTAATATCTCCGTCCTGATTCTGTATTGTGACTTTTTCTTAATGTTCTTTCATCCTTCTCTACTTAACTTTCTATGTTTTTATCTTTTTTTTTTTTAATCCAGGTTCCTTCATCAGTCACAGTGTTTCCCCTGACTCCGAAGATCGGAATGGGTAAACCAGCCATCTCTAAGAGGAAGTTCTCTCCAGGCAGATCTCGGGTCAAGCAGGTAAGGAATATTGACATCTTCCTCTAAGCTCAAATGGATCATATTCCTCCTCTTCACCTCCACACACAGTTGCATGTTGTTTTCATGGTAACATTGTTTCTTTTTGCTTGATGTTATTTTCTGTTTTACTTCATTTTTGTGGCTGTTGCATTTATGTTACTGCATTTTCTCCTCTCCCTTACACTTCGTTCTTCCTTCTCCCTCTAACCCTCCCTCTGTCTGCCTCCATCTTTTTGGCCTTCGTCCACTTCATCCTCCTCCTCCTTCCTAACTCAGGGTTCGTGGTGGAGTAACCGCAGGGCGGCAAGCCCCCCCTCATCCTCCCAGGATTCTATGGGGGAGGGGTGGGACAGCCCTAAGCCCCACCCATCGGACTCCCCCCTCTGGAGCATGAGAGTGGTAAACAAGCACATCCTAACTCTGTAACTAACTAACTAACTAACCAGCTTACAAACCTGCCTAAGTATTCAGTTGACTGACTCCACTCACTGTGGACATGCTTGTGAAATTACAGACGCACCCCTGCTTTGGCTTTGCCTTTGCCTGTCTGTGTGCGACAGCTGATTTTAGCTTGGCTAACTTTATTCTTGTCTGTTTAGAGGTTTTCAAAGGAAATAGTGCCAATGTTACTTTAGGGGATTAACTATTCAGGCAGAGTGCCATTTCTTGAAAAGGTAAAACATACGTGGCATGGTGGGATCATTGTCAACAGGAGTGCAGTATTGTGTCTTGTCTCTAATCTCTGTAATCAGTGACAGAGGTCTTAGAAACACTGAAGTAGCTGTTTAAGGGTTATCCGCTTATTATGTTACTTTCAAAACATCAATGGCTGTAAATCTCTGAAAGTGAATGCTGATGTCAGCATGGTCACGAGGTGGCAGCAATGCAAAAAGAGATAAACAATAGATAAACAATATGTAAGATGAACGCAAACACGTAAACAGTCCATTAAATCGCACAGTCAGGACCCCAGCTGACATCATCACACTTTCAGTGCTTCCATTTCATCTGGTCATTACAGAAACACCATGCTTTTTCGTATTGTTTTTTCTTTAACTTTACACTCTCTTTTACAGAGCCGTGGTACAGGGTTTCCTGGCAGGAGAAGATCCAGAGGAGGTGGTATTGGAGGAGGTAGAGGAGGTGGCAGAGGAAGGAGCAGATTGAAGACACAGGACTGTGTTCCTGTGTCACCTGGAGTAAGAATACACACAGTTCTAACAACTCTTCAACAGCTAAATTAAGTATATTTAAGTATTGATTATTGTTGTTGTTTTTATGTTTTAGTGTGCGTACGTAGAGGTGTTCCAGCCAAAGGAGGAGGAAGAAAACTCCATGCACAACACAGTGGTGATGTTCTCTACATCAGATCATTTCACTCTGAGACAGGTACACACACATTTCAATAGTTTAAAATATACTCAAATTTATTTATACTGAAATACATATAATATAAATATATTTATTTAATTATATTATTAGTATATTAGTACTTAAATACATTTTGTGTTTGTGCATGTTTCTCTTGCTGCAGGACATGTGTGTGGTGTGTGGCAGTTTTGGTCAGGGGCCAGAAGGTCGTCTGTTGGCCTGTTCTCAGTGTGGACAATGTTACCATCCTTACTGTGTCAACGTCAAAGTCAGTACACCTACACGCACTCACGCAGTCAAAATGTGTTGTGTAATCTGACAATTTTGATGCCTTTCATTTTCAGATTACCAGAGTGGTCCTGACCAAAGGATGGCGCTGTTTGGAGTGTACTGTTTGTGAAGCGTGTGGTGAAGCTAGTGACCCAGCTCGCCTCCTACTGTGTGATGACTGTGACATCAGCTACCATACCTACTGTCTTGATCCACCCCTTCACACAGTTCCCAAAGGAGCCTGGAAGTGCAAGTGGTGGGTCCCCTGACGCTTTCCTGTCATTTGTTCTTTTTTATCTTTTATCTGTACTTCACTTGTCTGTCTGAATGTGTGTCCTTACGGTGTTGTTTGTCATCCTCAGGTGTGTGTGTTGTATCCAATGTGGCTCCACCTCCCCTGGTCTAAACTGTGAATGGATGAACAACTACAGTCGCTGTGGACCATGTGCCAGTCTGAGTCGCTGTCCACTGTGTCACCGCGAGTACACACACGACGACCTCATCCTGCAGTGTCAGCAGTGTGACAGGTAACAATCACACAAGAGTCTGCAGACTGAGCCTCCAACCACACCTGGAACACATGGCCAATAAAATCATTGATTTTAGATTAAGAATATGTTTTTGTTTCTTGTCACAATTAAACAAAACCTTAAACAAATTGTCTTTTCTGTGTTGTTATATCTGTAGGTGGGTCCATTCTGTGTGTCAGGGTCTGTCTTCAGAGCAGGAAGTGGAGGTTGCCGCCGATGAAGGCTTTGACTGTACACTGTGCAGAACACACAGCCGCGTCCCATACAGTAAGCAGAAGTCCTATTCCCTGGTTGTATGAATTATTTCATTTCATTTGTGACGCACAAACAATGATCTGTATTTGTGTTTTTAGTAAGGCCAGAGACTTCGGAGTCTCCCTTCAGGGCTCAGATCATTTCCAGGATGAGAGAAGCAGGTGAGGGTTTCAGGAAGTGATGTCAGCCTGTAATAATGTTGTAGTTGATGTGTTGGGCATTGAGTTAATTGTATTTCTGTTGTAATTTTGTGTTGTAAGACCCAAAGACCTACACTCAGGACGGCGTGTGCCTCACAGAGTCTGGGCTGTCTCACCTACAGTCTTTAGTTGAACCTCTAACATCACCGCGCAGATATCGCAGGTAAAGGATCTGCCCATTTCCTCACTGTGACTACAGTTTTTCAAGTGTACTCATCTTCCATTCCATGTTTTTCTTTAGATGCAAACCCAAACTAAAGCTGAGGATCATTAACCAGAACAGTGTGTCCGTGCTGCAGACACCAGAACCAGACCTGTCCACAGAGCATGACATTGGCAGAGGTTTGAGTTTTCTCCTACACAAAAAACACACACTGATTTTTGTACACGTGGAGTTACAGTGTTGATGTTGTTAATAATTATTATTAAGGTGAGTTAGACTGTGAGATGAAATCAGACTCCAGCCCAGAGAGAGACCATGTCCCTGATGATGATGTCATCAAAGAGGCAGAGGCTCCTGATGGCAAGAAGAAGAGGAAACCGTACAGACCTGGTGAGTAAGACAATACCTGTGCTCACCTCCACCTGTCTGTGTCGGTCTATGTGCTCCTGTCCTTACCCTCTGTCCATGCCTGTGTTTCTCAGGGATTGGTGGCTTCATGGTTCGTCAAAGAGGCGGAAAGATTGGTCCAACCAGATTTAAACTGTGGAGAAAAGACTCCACGGAGATGCTGCCAGCTCGTGATGAAGGTGACACATCTTTCAGAAAATCATGATATCATGTTTGTGTGTCTTTACAGCACAAAAAGTCTTTAAGTGAATTTTTAATTCTGTCTGTTCCTTATAGACACTGAGATTACAGACCAAGCTATGGAAAAGGTGAAAAAGAGGTACAGGAAGAAGAAGACGAAGCTGGAAGAGGAGTTCCCGTCTTATCTACAGGTAATATTAAAAATATTTACCACGAATGTCAATCAGAAAGTACAGTTGTTTTCATTAACTTCCTGTCTCTCATTGGAACAGGAAGCATTCTTTTGTCGGGATCTCCTTGATCGGAGTAGACTTGTGGAGAAGAAGGTATCAGCAGAGACAACGAGTGGCAGCCAATTGTCGGCACCAATGGGTCTCATAAAGACCTCCACTACTGCTGTGCATGGCCCCTCACCCTCTGGGCTGGTATCCATGGTAGCCAACAGAAAACAAGGAACTCTGCGTAAGTTTTTCATTTATTTTCTTGACCCTTCTTCATCGTCATCATCGACATCTTGGACTCATTTTCATTGTGTATGATTTACATTGTGTGTCTGTGTGAACGTGTTTGAGCAGCAGTGTCGGAGGATCTGGTGGATCTGTCTGATGTCCTCAGCAGTGACCCTCATATCCTAGCCACAGGACACACAGGTATTCTTTCACCTGTCCTTCATACCTCACCCTTCATTGCTGTCATGTGATTCCATGAGATCATGATAACGTTGATGTTTAAAAGGGACCGGCAGCAGTGGTAACCATTCCTGTTGCAGCGGCAGTTATGTTGCTTAAGCCTATGCTCCACAGGGAGGCACTGTCACAGCTGGACAACAAAAATATAAATAACTGTGTTTGTTTATAGGTCAGTTCCATGTGGAGCGTTCCCCATCTCCATTTGGTAAGATGCCATATGTTTGCCTTTGTCTACGCCTTCTCCTGTTTCCCCTTTACATCTTTTTTCTTTTTCTTTTAACTGTTGTCCCTTTGGGCTCTTAACTGCTTTCTCCTTTTAATTTTCCAGATAGTACATCCTGCTGCTGCTCCTTCCGTTCCTGCATGTTTACCTTTTTGTCTCGTGTGTAGTCTCTAATCTTTTTCCCACTTTGTCTTTCTTAGCCGGCCTAGACATTAGTTCGATGGCTGATGACTCGTCTTTGACTTGTGAGCCAACTGGAGCCTGTGGACGTGGCCAGAGGGCAGTGCAGGAGGAGTCACTGGATGCTATCTTAAGTCCTGAGCTGGACAAGATGGTCACTGATGGTGAGTTAATCTTTTCCATCTTGTTAATGGTAACCTAAGTGACGTGTTCAGTAAGGTGTGAGTATTGGTTAATGATTGCTTTCTGTTTCAGGAGCCATTCTCAGTAAACTGTCCAAAATTCCAGGTAAAATACACTAATCTACACACAAAACCAAATATTTGATTATCTAATGTCTGGTCAGCCAATTGACTGTTCTCTGTGCCTGTTTGTGTGCACAGAACTTGAGGGAAAGGATGTGGAAGAGGTGTTCACTGCTGTTATGAGTCCAAACAGCATCAGCAACCAATCCCAGCATAGTCATCACACACACGCTGCTGCTGGGTGCAAGACACATACTCAACAACCAGGTACATACACACGTACTTCTCACAAGTGGAGAGTGACACACTGCACACTGGATACAGCGTAGTCCTTTCCTAAACACATGTATCATTGATCAACACTCCTACAGATTTTACATACAGCATAGACCTTTCCTAAACACATGTATCATTGATCTCTGTTATCAGGTGTAACTTATCCACGTCTACCGCTGGCAAATGGCCTGATAGGAGCCACAGCTCAGCTAAGCAACACTCATGGCACCATCCAGGGATCCCTAGCCTACAGGGCATTGGGAGTCCCACCTTCCCCACCTACATGTTCTAACATGGTGACTGCTTCAGCCAATCAGCCATCAGCAGGAGAGGGCGAGCAAGACATGATGTCAGCAGCTCAGAGAGGGATGCTTAAGTGGGAGAAGGAAGAAGTTCTTGGCGAAATGGCAACTGTTGCTCCGGTGCTCTACTGCAACACCAACTTCCCTCAGTTGAGGGAGCAGTACCCAGGTATGAAACAGACATAGGCTAAACCTCTGTAGAGGTGCCATTATTACCTTTGGCACTGCTACAATTTTCTTTTTCCATCTTATGAGTTTATTTGCCTCTGCATTAGATTGTGTTAACAGCAAAACAGAGATGTGATTTGTGACAATTTTATTGAAATTTACATTAAACTGATCAGGTAATAAAACATTTGAAAGCATGACCAAAAGTGCTCAATATAGACAAATGAAATGTGTGGAAGAGCATAGTGTCATTGTGCCATCACTGCAGGGTTTTGGACTTCTTGCATCGGAACTAATTTAGCAATGTAACAATTTCAGAGTGGACAACTAGAGTGAAGCAGATTGCAAAACTGTGGAGAAAAGCCAGCTCCCAGGACAGAGCACCATATGTGGTGAGTTTGTTTTTGTTAAATATGGAGGGAATTGGAATGTTACAGTCAAGAACTCAGGGGACTTCTTCTGGAAAGATATCTCTGTAAGATACCTCTTCATTTTTTTCTTGGCAACAGCAAAAAGCCAGAGATAACCGGGCAGCCCAACGCATCAACAAGGTGACACTGTCCAACGACCCACTCAAACGACATCTGCAACAACCACAGCAACAATTGCAGCAGCAGCAACAACAACAGCAACAACAACAACAACAGCAGCAACAACAACAACAGCAGCAGCAGCAGCAGCAACAACCACAACAACAGCAGCC